AACTAGGAGCCGTACGAGGTGTTTCACAAGCAATTTTCATCCTTTTACCTCGAGGACAAAGTATCTTTGGGAGGGGAGTAATGTTACACCAATACACGAGCTGGTCCACCCTGGACTGGCTGAAAGCGTCATAATCGGCCCACAGGCGGGCTAGTCTTGGTGGTGGGAAGAAGCGGAGCAGACAAGGTTAGTCGTAGAAGAAGAAAAGGGAAGGGTGGGGTTCACTAGGGCCATAATCACCTATGCAAGGAGGAGAAACTAAGGGAGTTTCGAGGGGAAGTCAGGAAGGAAAGTTTTTGAAGTGCTGTGAGGAGATTCTGTTATAGGGAGAATCTAGGGTTTGCTTTCTTTATGCATTATTTTGTTGGTTGTTGTGTTTTCTTCTTTTGTAGTGTTCCTAGCAACATCTAGGGTGTGAGAGAGCCGATCTACCTCTCAAAAGTAGATCATCTTTTGTTTCTCGCTTGTTTGCATTTATTTTTTGTAAGAGCAGCCCTTATTTGACTTATTTCCATCTATCTATCGTCGTTTTACGGTTGTTGCTTGTTGATTTTGGTGTCAAGGCATATCAAATTACTTCATACGTTAGAAATCCTATAACATGGAGATTCCAACTTTTTCATGAGTGAGGGGAAATACTTAATTGGGAAATAAGGACTTGTTTGGGGTGGTGACACTTTTTCAAAAAGTTGCAGTTGAAAACTGTTTTTTCCCATCGGATCTTGCAGAATGCTGTGGCTAATAGAAAGTTGCGGTATGTTATTTTTTTAAAAAAATTGTAATAGGTCCCACAATTTTTTGAACAACTTCTTCTGCAGCAGCTTCACAGCTGGTTCTTCAAACAACTGCAGCTACCTCAAACAGATCCTAAGTCGGACACTTTTTTATTAATATTTTTCTTTTATCAGAAGTAATGGGCAAAAAGTTTTAGGAGGGTAAAAAATACAAAATTATGTATTATGTTATAGAAATTAGTTATACGCGGGTCCGCCCTTGATCACATGTCATGTAGTAGTTTGCTTTCCTTGATGTATTTGTGCATTCACATTTGTTTACCTTAAAGGCCAATTTCCTTATTTGAATATTTTTGCTTTGTTTTTTTCGTTTTTAGTGTTATATCTGTTTGATTATTTGTGCCGTTAAGAAGGTTGGGCCCAATTTTTTGACCCAAGATAGTCCCAATAATCATCTGTACTATATAATTAACAAATTGATAAGTTAGTTGTAGTTATAAATCTTGATAAACTCATTAATAATAAATCATATTAATTATTGGTGATCCTGATAATTCTGATTCATCTTTTGATGTACCATCATCAAATAACAAGTTGGTTTTTTTGTTTTTTGGTTAGGTTTCACACTAAGATGCTAGGATTCTGTACTGAAAGGAATTCACTTTTGTTATATTTTATATTAACAACTTGACCATCATCAAGGAATTTGAAGGTCTTCTTCACTTGCTTATTTTGTGCATGGGATGGTGATAAGGCATGGTTAGTTTGGTTATGATTTTTAGCAGTCCTATGTTTTAGCAAAAATGCATATGGTGAAAATTACCCTTGTTTAATATATTTTGGTTTGGCCATATTTGCACCCTTAAATCCATCGTTGGGAAGTTAAGGTCCTCCATGCATCCATATTTTTGCGTTGGTTGGGTGAATGATGATGGTTGTCCATCTGGTTGAGATAGAACACTTTGATGCAAATTTTTGTGAAAATCGTATCAAAAGTTGAACTGGAATGAGAGTTTTAAAGTTCAATAGTTGAATTTAGGGTTGAACTGGATGATGTAGTAAATATTAAAATTATTTAATATTATTTAAATAATATAATAGTGAATAAGTAATAATATTTTCATCAATTTAATTTACAATGTTTTAATATTGGATACTTTACTTTTGAATATAATTATAGAGTAAAATTTATAATATGATATTTTAATTATTTTCTTAATTATTAATTCAAGTATTTTATTTATAGTCATCTGATCAAAATTAAAAAGCTAAAAATTGATTGGTTCATAAAAAATTGGTTTGGTTCACAAGTTCATCGTCGACTTTGACCAGTTCTATGCAGAAGCGATTTTAAACGTTGATTGAACTGGGTGGAGGTCTAGTTTACAGTTGAATCGGCCAGACCTTAAGTTTTGTCTGATTAGTAGAATTATGCCTTCGAGCCCTAACCTCGTATCACCCTATTGTAGGTTGATGTTAATGCATCAAGAGGCAATGATGCTAGTGGGGGTTTATGCCAAAACTCACCCCACTATAGATTCTCATTCTGATTGGGCCAAAGGTCCAATTTATTAATATAACATTGAACTGATGACATACTGATGCAACATTTAACAGTGCATCTGATTATTTCAAAGATTTCAAGCCAATGAGCCTGTCGTACCTTCTCTTGAGGCAGGGACTTGAGTTTAAGTTTGTCATGTTTTCTAGTTCTAGGGAAGTTGAATGGTTGGCATGCAAATCAAGATAACATTCACTTGCATGTACATAAAATTTTCATGAGTTTCTACTGCCTTATTATGTAGGATGTCTTAAGCTCCAAGGCTTCTAATGTTGATCTATTGTGAGATGTACACAATCATGCGATATGTATAAAATATTTTACTGGGCACAATGTCTTAAGTGTATCAACTATTTATTAATTTTAATGAACATTGAAAGAATGGAGAATTCCAATGTTGATGACAACATAAAAGCTTTCTCCAAGAAACAATATGTAGAACTTCAAAAGCCACGAAAACCATGCTCTCATTTGAAATCCAAATCATATCTAACTTTTTTTGGGCAGAGTGAGCATTTGAACCCATCCCGTTGGGATTCTCGATTTATTTAGGATCAATGGGTTGTGCGTTTAACTGCTAAATCATATCTAACTTAAATAAATTCAATAATGCATACAAACAAATAACATCATTTGGAGGAAAAGAAGTCAACCTGAAATATATAAGTCATCCAATATTAAAAGAATCAAGTTTCATCCTCGTATAGTGAGATTATCACTCTCAATAATCTTCAAGTTTTTTTTTTTTATCAAGGAGTTAGACTGCTAGAAGTGTGTGCAATAGAACATTTAATTGAAAATTTATTCAAAATCAAAATATATTAAAATTTTGGCAAGCCAATTACCCATATTTATAATAAAAAATCCATTGGATTCCTTACACACTTAAGTTTTGATTTTGAACATAGTTTTTAAAAGCTTTGAAGTGTTGACTTTGAACGATTATTTAGTTGATATTATTTCAATCAATCTGAGGATAACCGTGGAATTCGTATGAGTCTGTCTATTTATCACATATGGTAATTTTTATATCTTTCATTAATAGTTTTAATGCATTTTCCTTGTATAATAGTTTCATGAATATGACAAATTTGAAAGTCTGAGAATTGCACAATTAATGTTGTATGTGTATCTTGAGGGAAGTTGAAAGATAAGGAAATCCAGGCTTTGGATCTTCTCTCTTGATGTAATGGCAAATTAGATACTTTAAAAACCTGTCTGCCATTAGGGTTTTATGGATTCTGATTTATAAGCTTTTATCTCGGTTCTTTTTATAATTTTTATATGATCTATTTTCTTAGCATAATTTCTTACTGGTTTTTATATGAAAGTTTTTATTGTTCAGATGGGTCATTACCTTATCATCTGATTTGAATCGACATTTATCTCTTATTAATTGTTGGAGTGAATCTGTAATCATAATACTAAAACAGTTCTCTGCAATACTTTCATGCAAATCATGCTTATGATCAATTAATAATTCAGTATAATCTGGCACTAAACTACTTATATGCTTTTACTATCCTTTGACTAATATCTAGTGGTGGAAATGATGAAAGTAACTTAAAATTGAAATTTATTAATTTTCATAAATTTTGCTTCTCATAGACGATAACAAAAAAACACAAATTTGAAGTGTATGTTATTTGAAGATAACCTTTGTAAAAAAAATTAATTCAATGTTTTAAGAGTTAATCGGGATGAATTATATAATTTTGGATTCATCGGTGTAAAAGCAAGTTAAATTTTAAAAAAATTATGGGAATCCACATTAATAAATCTTTAAACTGTTGTTGCAATTTTGGCTGTCTCCATGATTTTTTATGAAGTTCTAAATAAAAAAAATCGAGAATAAAAAATAAAATCAACACTTGTTTGAATCTTTGATATGAAGATATCTTTGTTAGATGCTTTATCAATACTTATATTATTAGATGATTCATTTTATTTGGTATATATTACATGCATGATTATTCAGTTTCATATTCATGAATGTTCTATTTGAAGTTCAATTTGTAATATGTAATTTGATTTTCAATTGAAGTTTACTTTCATAAATGATCTTATGCTAAAATGTAATTTCAAATTTAAAAATTTACTCTTCCTCCATTTTAGGCTTAGATTCATGTATTGTTTTCCTGTAGATTCTAGTGAATATTTAAATTTTATAAAATCAAATTTATATTTATATTGTGTATATAAATCTTCTTTTATATTTAATGCTTAATTTAAGGAATACTTAAGACCTTTGATATATTCAATAATTTCAAATTTGATCATAAATGTTGTATGTGTTGATGTGGGTTTAACTTGTTTTAATTCAGAAATATTAATTTAAGGTATAATAGTCCTAACATAGATGATTGTAATATTTTAACTCATAGCTCTATGCAAAGTCACATCTAATATTTGTGGAATTAAAGTTCAACTTTTTGATTAATACCTTTAGGTGGAAGAGTGCTTCCAGATGCTGAAAGTTAAAGCATCCCGTCTACTTATTTTGGATTTTATGAACTCTTTTCTTTCTATTGAAGGCATACAAAATACGGATAGCCTCCCCTTCTTACCCCCATTAGTGTTTCCAACTAGTCGCTACTTCATGCTGCTGTGTGGATTTGATTGATGAAAGCGTTTTATGATTTCCTCTGCATGTTTCAACTGGTAACTCTGTTGCATTTCTTATGAATTTTTTCAATGATTTGCAGTTAACCGTTCCACAGAAGTTCTTTCTGCATTTCTACGTCATTGCCGTGCTTTTGACAACCGGCTTAGTGCTTTCTATGTGGTTCTATGCTTATAAAAAGATGACCCCATTAGCCAGCGAACCATTGGAATTCTCTACAATTGCTAGTCACCTAACTGGTGGTTCACATATGCTTTCTATTCACAAAAGCTCAATAGTTCCAATGAAGCGAAGATTTGAGGTTTGGAAAACTGTATTTGTTCTTCTGTTGATGGAAGCACAGGCCTTGAGGCGTTTGTATGAGACACTTTACGTGTTTAATTATGGTCCTTCTGCTCGCATGCATATACTGGGCTACTTGGCTGGCTTGTTGTAAGTTCCGAGGGAGCTTTTCTCTATTCTGAGTATAGACATTGCTGAACCTGTTTGATTTGGTCTTTTGATTGATTGTTCTTCCTTAACTTCCATAGTAAATGCCAGATCTTTTTTTTGTTGGCATACATTTTTGACAATATTGTATAATTATACTATATATTTGGACACGTACTAATTATTTTTTTGCATACACTTCTTTTAGGCTCGACATCTTATGTTAAATTCCTTTTCTTTATTATGGTAAAAAAATGCTCAAGTCCACTTTATCAGGTCTATGTTGCTTTGCTTTAGTAAAAATAATTTATTTCAGGGAAAGAAATGTGTATTGTTATTGGCTTAGAGCGGGTGATAGATGAAGCAATGAAAAACTAAATTGGTCATGGTTATATCAACTTGAGTTGTCATTAGATATTGATCTACGTAGTCATTGTATTAGTTAACCCAACCTTATTGAAAGATTCTTATTGGTGGTAACTATGAATTTTGACATTACGAGGTCTCATAGATTCAGAGTGAAAGTTTGTCGTAAAGGCCAATTCTAGGTTGAGTTTTTCTAACAAAAAGTTTCACATTTTATTTAGTGCATTGCATGACTCCAATATTACCGACTTAGACGATAGAAATATATGGGCTGAGATCATAATCGTAATGTAATGGCACTGTCGCAAGTCACAATCAATAGAAACACCTTGTTATGGGAAACTTTTCATGCCCTATTGGCACAGATTTTTGAATGTGATCATATATATTTACTTATATTAACACTTCATCCCTGACAAATCGATGTATAAGATGGATGGATGTTGCTTTGGGCATGAAGGCTTCGATTATTCATCAACCAGCCCCTAACCTCATGCAGTTGAGAATATTGAAGTTTTTCTTTTGTTTTTTTTATTTTGTACATATATATATATATATATATATATATATATATTATTTATTAGCCTCGATACTTGCTCTCCCTGCATTTATACAGTATCTCCTCGTTGCTACTAACATTACTTTGCTGCCGCCACCCCCTACAACTAGCTCGATCCACCTAGCTGACCTCCACCAGCCTGGGATATGCTTTAAGTGTGTTTGCTTGTGCCGTTTATGTTTTTTATCACTTATTTTCTGTTTTAAGAATCGTTGTTGTAACCCTATTTGAATTCGGTAATAATATTTCTATTGCTAATGTGTTTTGGGTTAACCTTGGTATCATTTAATAACTTGATTTTTATGGTAATACTCTATAGCTATAATTTTCTTTTTAACTGAATCCAACATCTTGGTAGGCACCTTAAAAGCACATTTAAGGTTCCCATTTTTGGGATTTCTTTCATCTTGCACTAAGGAATAGATCTGGTATGATTATCCATTTACCATTACCATTTATATATAGATCTGGTATGATTATCCATTTACCATTACCATTTATATATAGATCTGGTATGATTATCCATTTACCATTACCATTTATATATAGATCTGGTATGATTATCCATTTACCTATTGAAAGCCCAAAAAAGGCTAATGTATTAAATAGAAAAAAAGATACAGATACAATGCGTGGAACGACCCAAGCATGGCACCGTGTCCGTACAAAAATCACAAAAGGTTTCAAAATTAGAAAAAACAAAAAAAATACATTAGATACTAAAATAAAAAGTTTAACAGTGCCGAAATACATAGTATCAGGTGGCTAGAGAGCGACCCAGTTTGGTCTTGCCTCTGCCTCTAGTTTTAGGGAAGGAGCAAACTAATAATTTGGTAAAATGATTTCCATTGCCAGTAGTACCATTTATATATATATATATATATATATATAT